TTTAGTGTTAATGTGAGACTCTTACAAGAATGACACCCAGCTCTGATGATGTCCATCGAATGATGGACGAGGGCTCAGCACGTTTTCACCCGAAACTAGGGAGGAAGTCTCGTGGATTGCGTCAACATGAATATCGTATAAAAGCCAAACGGCTGCAGTATTACGAGTTTCATCCGTCCTCATTTGGTGAGATCGACAAACGAATCTCTTCTTCATGTACTTTCATTCGATGATAATGTTATCTTAGGAGATTTATCGAAACCAACTTTCTCTTTGTATCTACAAAAATAAACGGATTCGTGTGTAATTCGACTTTTTCTTCTAAAGGAAGAGTTGATTGCAACGGATATCATTGGCTATATATACGATTAATTTCATATTTGGGCACCCGAGAAGGATAGATGAGAAGAATCTCTTTGAGGCTTAAGAATCGAATAACTTAATTTACCACGAAGTTATAAAAGCTGGAAAATGAACATGTTCCCAATGTGGCAGTGAGCTCGTGATACGATTAGTTGAGTTGAAAGGTGTACATAAAATGCAAAAATGCGAGTTTCCTAACTTCTTTTCCTGCCAAAAATTGCGGATCAAAGTAGGAAACGTGAAAGCGATGATAATAAAGGGTTCTTGTCTTTTTTCTAATCATAGTCACTTCTTTGTACTTTTAGCTAACTCTTTCTCTCTCACATTGAGACCAAAACAAAAAAGGCTCATCAACAAAACCAAACGAGTGTCTGACCTTGCGCAATCCGAGTGATGGTTAAAACTTGTATGTAAAGCGGGATAGATAAGGGTCATCAAATCTTGATGACCAAAATCAGACGTTCCTTTTGCTGTGCTAATTACTTTGAGCCATCACTGTATTGGTGAACACATACAGACACATGCGCATACAGAGACACACACACTCATGGGCATCGATGTTGACATATGACCTTAACTAACCAAATCACTTTATACTTGATCAAAGAGGCCAGATGTAGAATATATATTTTCCTTTTTAGGGATTTGTCAGTGAGTTTTCTTGACTCGTTTGCTTGAATTTCGTTGTGACGATGATACCTCGCTCTGATGATGTTCGTCACATGATGGACGAAAGGTTAGCACCTCTTCACCGGAATCGAATGGAATTACTTCGGAAACAGCGTCAGAATGAATCTTTTAGTAAAGCCAATCGACAGCTGGTCACGAGGACTCCGCCGTTGTCTTCTGGTGGAACCGACCTTCGAGTCTCTTCACCACATACTTTCACTCGAAATGGAAGTAAGCTCAACAATTATAAGACAAGAGATTCCCCGAAACCCAACTTTTCTTCGCAAATGTACATGTTCCCGATGTGGTAGTGAGCTAGTGATACGATTAGTTGCGTCAAAAGGAGTACATGAAATGCAAAAATGCAAGTTTCCTAACTTCTTTTCCAGCCAAACATTAAGGATCAAAGTAGGAGACGTGATCGCGATGATAATAAGTGGTTCTTATTAACTTAAACAGGAAATACTGTATAATGAAAGATCTGTTCATTCGTAACAATCATCCTATTGAATTGAGTAATTATTGCTTTTAACTAAGCATAAATAGAATGAGCAAATGTAGCTATTTAGGGCAGGACAAGCAGACAGACCATTCTACTCGGTCCCTGATTTCGTTGTCCTGTTAGCATAGGATAGGGTAGGAGAAATACTATTACTATCCTCAATTATGTCTTCACCTAAAAGTGTTAAGTATCATATTTTTCGATCACAAAGTCACAAAGTTTTGTGCTCATAGGTTAGTGTCGGTGCTGCAGGGGTGATCTACCCACTCATTTAGAATAAATTATGCGTACCGATAATTGCCTAAAAAGGTATATTGGCTGAAAAATCAGATCTGGTTGAAAATGTGGCTGATTGAGGACACATGATTAGATGGTACAGAGCACGGCGTTTTACCGGCTGCGGGTAGTTTATAGAAATCAACGAAATAGTCAGCATCCTGAACAGAAGGAACCAGTGTAGAACCGTTGAACGGGTACGATTTGTGGCTTGAAGAGAGGTAGTGGGAAAGCGAGCAGGAAGAAGCTGGGCGCTAGAGGAGGAGGTCTGAGCGTAAACATCAACACATGCATAAACATGCGTCAACATTGGAGGATCGTATTCTGGCATATTTTCATAAGGAAACAACTGTGACTACGGGCACTTCTTTTTCATGCATCAATTGCACTTATCTGCGAGCACGTAAGCATGTAGCAGCCAACCAACTCATGGAATGCCTTGTCTAGATTGCACAATTAGGAATACGAAATGAGTTAGCTTGAAGACAATCATCTTTTCTTGTGATTTTCTACCAGCTCGGTGTGGTTTTTGCCTAAAATTTGCATTGGCCATCTGATGCTGACTGTCGCAGAGCAGACGAAAGCTCAGCCTGGCTTTGTCGATGTTGTATAAGCGTGAGTCAGTTAACACTCATTCGGTTTCTAGCGCGAACAAATCAAGCAAAATCCTTAACGAAATTATTCTTCTGCTAGGAAATGTCGAGTCCCAACAAGGCGCTGAGGGATTCTTCAAGCCCAGCTTCTCTTTACGCCCATCTGTAAATCGGCTGTAGCGTCTCGATTACCATAAAAGTGACGAAATTGTTCACTGGGCGCCAAGCGGACCGATGATTGTGTCCTGAGCTCGATTCCATTCTGACCTGGGCGGAGACTGAGGCAATTCTAGTTGAATGAAATTCGCAATGTGAATTTCGATTGAACACTTCGTGAAAGCATTTTCTACCACATTTGTGGATTCTTCCTGACAATATCAATCATATTTCAATATATCCAGACGCCCCTATTCCTGTTCCTCCAAATTTCGCTCAATCCCCAACCCTT